TAAACTCCTTATGCTATAATACAAGGCCTTCCACAAGTTCGTGAACTTGACCAATTCATGGGTTACCTCAAACTAGTCAGGTTGGCCATCATCATGTGATCTTAACCTTCTGGTCTTACTTTTTTTATAATCTGTCAATCAGGCCCTTGGCTAAGAATCTGTTCACTGAGATGTCATTTTGCTCTAAGATTTTAAGTTACTCAGAAGTATTTTGATGACGGTGAGTTCGATATACCAGGGAACCTTCTAAGTAGAGCATTGTTGGTGGAAAAATGTGACTGAAATTATGACTATCAAGAGTTTTTTAAATGGTCTCAAATAAAGATAGTTAGAAAGCAGACAAAGAAGATGACTTTATAAGTGGGGCATGTTTAAAACTGGAGAGGAAGTTGCCTGTTGTAGTATGTTGTTATAAAATTCTGCTGAGGATATATTTCTTAATTTTTTTGTTTCCAATAGATAATTGGTGGACGATCTATCAGCAATCTGCATTATACAGATGACACAACCCTGCTTGCTGAAACTGAGGAGGACTTCATGCACTTACTGCAGAGGGTCAAGGACTGCAGCCTTCAGTATGCACTGAGGCTCAATGTCAAGAAGACAAAGATTCTCACCACTGGATCAATTGGTAGCATCAGGATGGATGGCGAAGAGATTGAGATTGTTTACAGCTTCAGTTTGCTCGGCTCCACGGTCAACACTCTTGGCACCAGCAGTCAGGAAAACAAAAAAATGTATTGCGATGGCAAAGTCTGCTGTTAGGGACCTCTCTAAAGTACTCAAGAGCAATGGTGTCTCTCTGGAGATTAAGGTGCGCCTGATACAGGCCATGGTTTTTGCAATCACTTGTTATGCATCAGAGAGTTGGACAATGACTAGGGAGGATAGAAGGAGAATTGACGCCTTTGAGCTGTAGTGCTGGAGAAGAGTATTGAATGTACCATGTACTGCCAAGAAAACAAACAGATTCATCCTAGAGAGGGTTAAACCAGGCTACTCCTTGGAGGCAAGGATTCTGGGGCTTCGTCTGACATACTTTGGACATGTTGTAAGGAGAGACAGGTCTTTAGAGAGGGACATCATGCTGGGTAGAGCAGAGGGACACCGCAGGAGGGGAAGACCCTCTATGAGGTGGATTGATTCAGTGACTGGGGTAATCGGGATGGGTGTGTCAGAGGCAATGCGACTGGCACAGAATAGAGCAGGGTTTAGAGCTGTTGTACATAGGGTCGCTATGAGTCGCAAACGACTCAACGGCACATAACAACAACAACAATAGATTATTATACTCTATAAAGAAAAAATAAGACAAACATTAATGTTGAATTTTCCAATGTTTTCTGATACATTATACACATACACATACAGTGGTGTTGTGTACCACTGAGTTGAAACACACCCATAGCTGACCCTCCAGCAGGTTTTCAGAGGCAGTTAATTACATGGAAGGAGACTGTCCATCATTCTCCTTGGGAGCAGTTTTTGGATTTGAACTGTGTGCCTTTAAGATTGCAGCACAGCTTTTTACTACTCGGCCAAGAGCACCAATATAATATTTACTGTTTTACATTGCATTTAATTATATATAGAAAATGATGGAAGTCAGAATTTTTTGTTTGTGTTGCAATTTTGCTCAGGTCAGTCATGCTACTCACTCGCTCACTAGTTTTATATTAACTTTTCTAACCCATAATATCTAGACATTACTCAGAGGAACTCTTGAGATTACTTTCTTAAAAGCTATTTAGACGAGCTCTGATGGCCTAGTGGCAAGAAGCTATACTGCAATCTCAGAGGTGTGCGGTCTGAATCCACCAGATGCTCTGCTGGAGAAGGAGGGACAATCTCCTCCTATACCAGTTAGATCTGATTTGATGGTACACACCCACCCACCCCTAATACCCACACCCCTATGGATTGCTTGGTATCATCCTCAAGAAAATATTGAAACAAGGCAGAAGCTGGGCCTGGAATAAAATGTGGTTTCAGAACGACGGAACTGTGGTATTCCTAGTTCAGGTAACTTTTATATGAACCTCTTACTCAAAATGAAAAGGTATAAGGAGTCAGGAAGAGAGCAATTATAACCATCATTTTCTACTGTTAATTAGAAAATAAGGAAAACGATGTATACATATAGTTACCAACATAAAAGTAACATAATGACAAACTACAAATGCTGGCGAGGTTGTAGAGAAACTGGAACCCTTATTCATTGTTGGTGGGAGTGTAAAATGGTGTAAACACTATGGAAGGTAGTATGGCACTTTCTCAAAAAGTTGTAAATAGAAATACCATTTGACCCAGCATTTGCACTACTGGTAATATACCACAAAGAAACCATCCAACTGACATCCAAGCAGCTATATGCACACCCATGTTTATCGTGGCTTTTTTTCACAACAGCAAAGAGTTGAAAACAACCTAAGTGCCCATCAACAAACGAATGGCTAGAGGAGCTATGGGATATTCACAGAATGGAATACTATGCTGCACTGAAAAACAAAGAACTCATGAAATATTATTAAAAAATATGTGACCCTGGAGGATGTTATGCTGAGTGAAATATCTCAGTCACAAAAGGACAAATACTGTATAGGGCCACTGCTGTAAAATGGGACTGACATCAGGGTTGAGGGGAGGCTGAGGAAGAGGGGATAAATAATGTATACTACATTGAAATAGATGAGGGAGAAAACTGTTTAAAATGAATATATGATTACATATTACTGTCATGACAGGAGACCAGCACGAAGGCTGCATAGTGGAGTGGACTGGGGGGAGGGACTGTATAACAATGAAAGAATTTTTCTTTTACTTTTCAAAGAGAAGAGTGAACTGAGGGGGTAGGTTGGGCGGGGAAAAGTGTAACAATGAATAAATGAAAATCCAAAGTTTCTGTACACTTTCATTAAAATTAATTAAAAAAGTAACTTAATGAATTAAATGATTATAAATGGGATTTTAGTTCAATATTACTTATGCTAGAGAGCTCTCATGCATTAGAGGTAAGGAACTGTGCTGCTAATGCCAAGGTAGGCGATTCAAATTCACTAGCTGCTCTGCAGGAGAAAAAACAGTCTCCTCCTGTAAGTACTGCCTCTGAAAAAGTGTTAGAGGGGTCAGCTATTGGTCAGTGCTGACTTTACAGTTCACAAAAACAACGTGACGATCCAAGTGTTACATCCAGAAAATAAAGTATAAAAACTGAGAGGAGAAGTATATTCCTTGGTTATTATGAATTCAAAACCAAATAATAATTATGATTAATTAATAATAATCATTTGATTAAAATTTTCAGTTATTTTTTTCTAGTTTGAGATGTAAATGGAAACAAGAGAGCTGCAAACACTAGTTCATAACCACATTTTGTGTGTGGATAAAATGGTTTATATAAATGGTATTTTTAGAGTTTCTTTATTTCAGGATTCTTCAGAAGGAAAATGTCCTACATAGCCATACCAGAAGCACTTCTATAGTAAAAAATAATAGTACCTGTTTTCTTCCCTAAGGTCATTTTCCACAGCTTGAGTCTCTCGCTTCAGCTTCTGGGATCTCGTGTAGTCTCTCCAGGCTCGCAGGACCTTTAGTTGGAACTTCCAGTCAGAGAGGGTCCCAGCTTTCCCCAGCTTAATCCTATCATCAAGAATTAACTGGTGCCAGGCAGAGAAATAACGTCGTTGACACTGCAATGGAAACATGTGGAAAATCACCACCAGTGTTAGTGCTTCTAATATCAAGAGTTCTAATTTCAAGGGTTCTCTCCTCAAAGATGCCCATATTTCTCTTAACAATGCTAACTTAGTGGAAGGAGAAAAAGCACAATTCCTTTATGGTAACAGTGTCCTTAAACATTCAAGACATGTAACTGAGGCACTCCCAGAGTGCATTATTTTAATGCATGTAATTATCTCTGCAAGTCATTAGTCCTGTTGGAGGCTACACAGTTACTTTGACAGTATGAATTAAGAAATCTGTTTCAAAGACCACTTACAATATGATTTTTCTCTGCCAGGTTGTCTTGGAGTTTGATCAACATTGGTATCACTCCTGATACCAATGCTGACTCTTGCATAAGGGAAATCCCAGAAGTTGGTATGGAGTGTCTGATTCTTGGGAACAAGAAATCTACAAACTTCAGGTATACTACCATTGGCCATACTGATGCTTTGGTGAATAGGTCTAGAGAAATTGGATGCTAGGCCATTTGCAATCGTCTTTCTTTGCTTCCACAGAAATAACACAAGGCATGTAGACTCTAAGGAGTAATACTTATATCAGTCATCCTTTAAGCCTGTATGCAGGATTGGCTATTCACTTCTGAAATAAGTTATCTTTGAAAACCTTATGAACAATAGAGGAATACTGTTGGACACAGGACTAGAAATAGTGTCCTAAGATTGGAACAGTTAAAATGAGGACAAACAGCTGTAAACATCCATTAATAATGGAATGTCAGTAAAGTAGAATATAGGAAAATCTAAAGTTGTAAAAAAAGGAATTCATAAAGGTTGACATTCTAGGTATTAGTGACTTTAGATGCATTGGCATTGGCCACCCTGAATCAGACAATCATATGATTTATTATGCTGACAATGAAAAACTGATAAAGAATGGTATTGCATTCATAGTTAAAAAGATAATTTAAAAATAAATACTGAAGTAAAGTGCTGTGAGTGAAAGGACATTACCCATATACATAGAAAGCAGATCTGTTAATACTACTATTATTCAAATTTATATACCGACTAAAGCCAAAGATGAGGTAATTGAGGATTTCTAGCAATTTCTGCAGTTGGTAATTGATCAAATGTGTAATCAAGATTTATTAACAAAAACTAGTGACTAGAAAGCAAAAGATGGAAACAAAGATGAGGGACTAGTAGTTGGAATTTAAAGATTTAGTGTTAGAAATGAGGCTGGACATTTAAGAGTGAATACCGAACAGCCAGTAATTTACTTATTGCAAATAACTTCTTTAAAAAATACAACATATTCTCAGAAAAGCAGAAGCTAAAGGAGTTTGTAAAATCAAGACCAGCATTGCAGGAATCATTGAGAGAAATTGTTCTTACAGATATGCCATAGAAAGCAAGATGGACCAAAGCAACCAGCAACAAAACCAAAAAGAACAAAATAATAGCAATAAAACCTTGCTTCTCAATAATAACACTGAATGTGAATGGTTTAAATGCACCAGTGAAGAGAAAAAGAGTAGCAGATTGGATTAAAAAAATCCCAAATGCATCAATATATGGTTTAAAAAAGACACACCTGAAAAGTGAAGATAAGGAAAGATTAAAAATAAAAGGGTAAAAAGAAATTACCAAGAAAATGGCAACCAGAAAAAAGCTGGTGTGGTGATCTAAAAAAAAAAAAAAAGTTAAATATAAAAACCACCACAAAGGAAAACATAAGTCACCAAATAATGCCCAAAGGGTCAACAGAGCAAGAGAACATAACCATAATAAAGACCTATGCACCAAATATCAGAGTTGTCAAATACCCTAAGCAAATGTTAACAGAACTGAAAAAAGTAATAGAAAACACCATAATAGTAAGAGAAGACTTCAATCCACCACTCTTAAGACGGAACCACCAGAAAGAAACGCAACAAAGATGCTGCAAAACTAAATCACTCAATCAACCAGTATTCATTCTTCTTGAATGTGTATGGAACATTCTCCAGAAGAGAACATAGTTTAGGTCACAAAGCAAGCCTCAATAAGTTAAAAAACAAAGAAATAACACAAAACACGTTCTCAGACCATGATGTTTCAAAATTAGAAATTAATAACAAGATAAAGGGGAAAAAAACCCCATACATTTGGGAACTGAGTAACACCCTGCTTGAACATGAGTGGCGTAACAGAAGAAACAAAGTAAGTTTCTTGAAACAAATGACTATTTAAGCGCAACTTACCAAAACCTCTGAGAAACAGCCAAAGCATAGAGGTCAGTGTATTACAGCCTTCAATATATACTGCATCTCAATGTTAAAAAAACCAAAAATCCTCACCACTGGACTGATAGGCAACATTATGATAGATAAAATACTGAAACTGTCTATAACTTCATCTTACTTGGATCCACACTCAATACCCATGGTACCAGTAATCAAGAGGTCAGGAGACATATGCAGTGCGTAAGTCTGAAGTTAGGCATCTCTCCAAATTATTAAGGAGTAATGACATCTGTGTGAGGACTAAAGTGTGCCTGATTCAGGATATGGTCTTGTTATGCTTCTGAGAGCTGGACAAATGACTAAGGATGACAAAAGAAGAACTGATACCTTTCAACTGTGGTTCAGGAGAGGAGTGCTGAATATACTATGGACTGCCAAAAGAACAAACAGATATGTCTTGGATAAGGTGCAGTCAGAGTGCTTCTTGGAGACAAAGATGATGAAACGTCATTTCACGTACTTGGGGCAGGTTGCCAGGAGAGACTATTCATTGGAGAGGGACATCAGGTTTCTAAAGGTGTAGGACTGGGAAAGAAATGAAGACCCTCAACTAGATAGACTGACACACAGTGTCTGTAGCAATGGGCTCAAGTATGTTGGAGATTTTGAGGATGGCACAGGAAAGGACGTGGTTTAGGTCTATTGTTTATAGAATAACTTTGTTTCATACTTGATGGCACTTAACGCAACAAAATCTAGAGTCACCTATATTTACTGCTTCGTCCTCTGTGAAAATATTTACCTTTCACTGTTAGGACATTTGGCAACTTTAGATAATGTCATTTAAAATAAAATCTCTTCCTTTGAGAGACTTATAAAGAGATAATATGGAAATAAAAAGGCCAATTATATGAGGGAGTATAGTCTTAGAACTCTTATAAATAGTTGAATTGGTCAGAACTTTTTCCCACATAGGAAATTAGTTATAGCTTCAAACAGACATGGAACAAAATAATCTTCATCATAATTTTTCATTAAGAGGAACTTTTTTTTTGGCATTTTTAAATTAGGTTTGTTTTATTTAAGTTTAATGTCAATTCCATGCTGTGTTTCAGTAAGAACAATACAGATTCTGTATCTGTGGCTCCAGTCAGATATCCAGTAGTACAAATTAGCTTCAAGTTACACATACTGAAAGAAAGAGGTTGAGCAAGCGAAGAAGGGAAGGAGTGGGGTGGGGTTGAGGGCGCCCAGAGGGAGAGAACAGGAGAAGAAACAAAGAATTGA